CATCGTCATGTTCACCGCGTTTGCGATATACTTCGATGATGCCTATCCTGATGACCCTGACGCCCTTGTCGGAGTCCCTAATTTTACCAAGGTGAATATTGATGTCTGATATCTAAAATCCCATCAACTTCTCCTATGCAGTACTTTGCGTCCTTAGAGAAGCAGCCAAATAAGATGCTTGATGATTTTGCGAAGATCCTAGCAGAAACCTCTCAGCTGTTTGGCGAAGTCACTACTGATTTCATTATCCATGCGGTCTTCAAGTTCATGACTGCGTTGATTTTAGAGATAAGGAGTGAATCTAAACCGGCGAGTAGTAATTTTCACTCTGGATATTGATTTACTTACTTTGTGACAGACACACAAGGTTGACAGATACGCTATATATCTTCGCGAGCTAAGCGGACTTGCCGAGGCCTACGCCGTATTCATTTTCCCTACCGAGATGCCATATACCGTATATGTCCAGGCTCTTCCTCTCCTCCGCGATGTCATCAACTTCATAAATGACATCACCTCGTTCTACAAGGAGGAGTGTGACGGTGACAACCACAACCTTATATCGATGTTGGCTGAAGCCAACGGCGAGGCAAAGACCAAGGCTCTTTGCTACTTGATGGAGAAGTGCATGGAGGCACACAAGAGGACGTTACTTATCTTGTCGCCACACAAAGAAGCGCACGAGATGTACAAGGAGTTTGTGAAGGGATACTTGGCATATCATTTGGGTGCCAAGAGATACAGACTTAACGAACTGAACATTTAACCTGTCGATTGCGAGGATGTATATACTGGGGAGCTGTGATATTCATATCTGATAAGCAAATAATTGGATGGGCATTTGGGCGAGTGAAGGGATCCGTACATGGTGATGAAGCCGTTTCCGTGTATCCGTGACCCGTATAGTCGAGCCTAGAAGATCTGCCGATGTGACGACAGCAACTCGAACTTGTAACATCGCCTCTACTCCAGTACTGAAGGCACTCACGTCCCTGCATGTCTCTTTGCCAGTATCAGCGCCACTGACTCCAAAGTATCCACCAAAATCGGGATACCCTCCCAGCAAAGCTCGCGCCCAGAACGAGGGTGAGCATTTCCAAAGTGGCTTCTGTCAGACTATATACGAACGAAGTGGAGCGGGCCCAAAACTCGAAAGGAATTTTTGCCGTTGATTCCTTCAATGTGCCTGGCCCTGGCCTTGACGCTTTCTTCGTCTGTGACGGAGTCCATTTGGATTCTGCAGGTACATCAGAACGAATGTCATCAAGAGAGAACGGCTGCTTGTAAGACAATTGATCCTGAGACGTCTGTAATTGACGGCGTAGCTTAGTCTAACACGTTTGTCTTCGCCCAGAGATGTATACTTTTGCTCCGTTGCGGCAGAGGTTTTAGCAATGCTGAACCCTCTATTGACGAGTCAACTGTGAGTCGTGCATGAAAGTCAGGTTACTTACATCCCTGTCCGCCTGCCTGTAACAAAAGCTATGCGTCCGGACAGCGACAACACGGTAGCCACATTAATATCTGCCATGTTCGGGAAATACTGAACACTCTCTGGACACGGTCCTTCGGTCTTATTCAGCGAAACTGTGTTGGTGTCGGATACCGCTGATCTGACCTTATTGCAAGACCATCCTTTTCCCATAATGGTCAGCATTATGATTCCAGTTCGCGGGCCGTGATCTTATTCCGAAAGCCTCTTGTGTGAAGAAAGGATCTTCTTCCACAGTCATTACGCCAGCAAAAAGACGAAAAAAAGCGTGGATATAGGTGCTCTATGAGCCCAGGTATCTTGAAATAGAAGCTTGAGAACCGTTTAGGTGAGTTCGCGACTCTCCCAGCTCACCGTTATTGTCGTGTCCTATCAATCCACCCGAGCTAAGGGCAACACTGAGGACCGCATTCATCTATGCGCTGGATTCTGCTAAGCTCACGCCTGTATATTGTCGTTGGTACCAGATGCGAGGCTTGGCTTGCAGTACCAATCAATGGATGCTTCCTTGTTAGCTGAGGGAAGAGAACTTGAATGGATAACGAAGACGCGACGAGCAAGGAAGTATGGTAGGACGGCAAAGGGCGGCAGGCAGCGTCCGAGTCGGAGTTTCAAACACGGCTTGAACTACGACCACGACCACCACTGGTACCGTCTATACCACCACGGCCTTTCATTTCTTCTACCTCAAAGCCATGTCCTACCCCAGCGAGGCGATAGATTCTCACATCGAGACAATGGACCGTGCACAACGCAGAGAATACCGTAACCAACTTTTCAACGAAGCCATGCACCTCAAGCTCAAGCGTGAAATAGAACTCGTTATGTCCTATCAACTTATCTAGATCATGCGATCCGCCCAAGACGAAATAGCCCAGTCTAAAAGCTATCGATAGAAGCGATCTCTTCTTCGCCAACTGGCGGCAACACTCGAGGACTTCAAGCCAGGAATACGTGAAACGTTTGGTGAAGACTCTGGTACGTTCCATGGATGCGTCGTCTACGCCTAGTATATTCATTTTGTTTCAGACGTGTACCAGCATCTGCTTCTGGAAGAACCACTGCTCCTTCATTAGTAATTATGCTCTCTGCTGTGTCCTTGATTCGCCAACCTTTAGTTGAACTAGGCTGACTGACGTGCTGATCTTTCAACTGCTCTCGTCCACGTTCTTCTGGCTTGGGATCCTCTCTCCGTTTCTGTTGTGGTCTCTACCTTGGGCAAAGGATCTACCTTGAAAGCTTGACCGTCGGTACGTCTTACCGAACCCATCGCAGATACTCATTGTCTGACCGCGTTTGTTTTGACAGTATCTTTCCACATCACTCTCTGTATACCTAGTGTCTTGTGTATCCGCATTATGTCATGGCGAAATGTATGTGAATCGACTCGGAGAACGTTCTGGTTCTTGTATGGACAAGGTTCATCGGCGCGAGGGAGTCCAAGTTCATCTACATCTAGCCTCAACGCAACCCTCTTCGACAGACGAAAATCCAAAACATGAACTGATCTTTTAGTTCGGGTAATGAACTTACCAGGTATGTAGCTGCATGATTACAATCCCGTCTGTTTCGCCTTCATTCAAGACGGCGAGGTTATACGAGGTTCGACCTCAAGGCCTCTAGTTGCCGCTCTGAAGAAACCTTGTAACCATTCGACTGGTCAGGTGCATTGAACCGAGACTGGAACGACGAGGTACATACGCAAATCGCCACCTACGAGGGAAGGATGAGGAGCAAGATGAATCATAGAGTCAATTAATAATTACCCGATGCATGAATGAGGTCCAGCACCTGAGGGTCACATAAGTGAAAGAAAAAAGGTACTGAAGCACAACTTACTAAATGTCATCCTAGCATTCCGCCTAAGTCCTGAGAACACGCACAAAGTCAAGACCTCACTCACGTATTAGCACACACCCCGAGCGAGACCGGCAGGGCCTTGTCAAGAAACCGACCAGGGTTCCACTCTTCCGCGTCATCTCCCCAGAGAGATGGAAGACTAGAAAACGTTGGCGTCAGATGTTCATTGAAGTGATGTGGGAAGAGCGCACCGGTTGTAAGTATAGGTAAGCGGAGCAAACGAACGTCTGCCCCTTGGGTGACGAGTTTTCGAGCAGACGCGTCAGGTGAGTGAGGAGAACAGCAGCTCGCTCAAGCGGGTTTCTCAACAATACCGAAGTTCTTTCAACGTAGGATGTGGTTGAAGCTCTAATGATTAGTCACTGGTGGCCTGTGGTGGCGGTCAACATAGAACGGTGACAGAACTAAAAATAGAAGCCTCCGTTTTTGTCCTAGTTCACGCGGGGGTAGTACCTTTCTCTGGGTTTTTCTCGGGTTTTGCTGTTGTCGTTGACATTCCTTACCATCTGCGTCATTTTCTCCTATTAGCTTTGTCTGGGGCTGAAGCTGAAATATGCGGTCATCCTAATTGCTTTTCAAGTTACATTCTCTCCATCACCAATGCGCCAAAACGGTGGCAGAATGGACACCCTTCTTAGTCTTTTCAGACTTTTCAATATTTTCTAACTGGCTGGCACATGTCTACTCTGTAACTGAATCCTCTCCGAGTACTAGTACAACCATTCATATTTCCGTCTTGGCCTTCATATCTAGGGTTCGTTTTTCTGATACCGAAGGACGCACAGGCGCGCTGATCACCTTTACTGGAGTCCTTTGGCTGTAACACCCATATCAGCCTCCCTGTCTCATGATGTGGCAATTTTCATCAATGATCTGTCTCGGTTCTCGTGATTTACAAGGCTTGGCTCAAGCCCGAAAGCCAGGCCAAGTCGAGCCCTGAAAAGCCCAGCCCTGGTGTCGGGCTTATACAGGGCTTGGCTCAGGCTTTGAATTTGGAAAGCCCAAGCCCTGGGCCTAAGCAGGGATTGGGGAGTAGCTAAATACCACAGAAATGCGTGTAAAAATGCATCAGTACTTGTGCATCAAAAGGTATGTGATCTGTTCTGATTCAGACAGTATCTCTCAACCACCTGGTTTTCTCTTTGTTAGTTGAATGAGCTTGGCGAAGATCACTAATTAAGATGGTACGAGCTTCGATGGATTCGGATTGCTTTATTGAAGATAATGGTATGCTTTACAATACATTTGAATGCTAATTTCAATCCCATTAGACTAGTGCTAAGATATGTCATCGCATTTCTGACCACCAATGCGAGGTAAATCCTTACCACTTGATGCCCTGGCCTGAGCTCGAGCCAGGCCCGAGCCCTGTAGGGCTTGGGCTCAGGGCTCGGGCTTGTGAATTCGAAAGCCAGGCCCGACTCAAGCCAGGCCAAAGCCCTCAAAGCCAGGTCAAGCCCCGCCCTGTAAATCACTAATCGGTTCATACAGTTGATCATTCTGACGTTACGAGGGTATTGAGGCTAGGTGATATCAGCGGTCCGGACTTATACACGGATCGTCATGCCCTTGGGTATATATACCATGTATCTTCGCGGGGACACTCGTCTCTCCGTCGACCATAGATAGGCACAGTTCCTTCACGCCCATCATGAACTTCACGTCCCTCTTACTTACTTTCCTCTCCCTCTTCGCATGGGTATTCGCAAGCCCTGTCAACCTGGACAAGCGAGATGTCTTCATCCCTCCTATTCTGTATCCACACTCTGGTACCGTGTGGACAATTAAACAGCGTCACAATGTTACCTGGTTAGCATTTCTTTCGCTGAGTATTCGTTCAATCTCACTTATGACCGTACAGGGATACCTCCAATGCTCCTGTGAATATCATAAACCCCATAGGTTACATATTACTAAGAAAGGCAAACAGACCTACTCCTGGTGCGTTATTGATTTCTGCATCGATATGGGAATATCGGCTTAAGAAATGAAACGCATAGTGATCCTTGCCGAAGGGTTTGATATTCTACTCGGTCGAATCGAAGTAACGGTACCTTGGGTTATTCGAGGAGATGACTATTCTCTACTTTGTGCGTATAATTCAATGTCCATTGTATAGCATGGGCATTTCATTGACCACCCGTGACAGTGTATGGCGATTCCGGAAATTGGAGCGATAACTTTACGATCACCGGGGCGCTCTTCTAAGTAGTTGATTCGGGTGTGCTTTCGAATTTTTGGACAATCATGCGGAAACTGATTCGTGAAGTTGAAGAATTGATTAAATTTGTTGTAATTTTAGTGTTATCAATGTACGGTGGCTTTTGCGTAATTAATTTTGTTTCCATCCTGGAGCCGAGGGGTGGTCCGGATCTACCAACGAGAAGAATTTTGGACATGTGAATAGTCGTCGACTCTCGGTCAGAGTCCCGGAAGTACCATATAATGGACCTCGAGTGCCAGTTCCTGATTTTTTTGATACTATGGCAAGCGTTTTACCTCATGAAAGGGGGAGGACGTTATCATGAGGAGCGGTATGTATCAAGGAATGCACAGTTGTGTGTAGACGGAGAGCCTCCTGTTATGAGAGGTCAACATGGGTATCCGACGTAGCTACTGATCTCACTTTGATAGTTGCGTTCAGGAATGGCATTGAGTCGTAGTCGTTTGACTGTATGAGCTCTGCGCGAATTATGGACCGATACTCAGGATGCATAGCGAGTTCGTATAGCAACCAGGATAGGCTAGTGCTCGACGTCTCGTGCCCGGCAATGACGAGGGCCCTGGAACACAAAAGTTTGAATGAAGTTGAAGGGTAAGTAAAACTATGACTACGAACATTAGCTACGCCTCGATCTTGTCATCTTGCATTTTTCCTACTGAGCGAACTGTCGCTAGAGATGTAGTCATGTTCATAGGTGTATTATCAGATGGGACCAACAAATTTACCTAGCAGATTAACGTCTTTGTCGTCGCCTGGTATCTGTACCTCGTTATGGCTAGCCATGACCTCTCGCGCGGTTTTCTTGGAAACATTTCCTACGCCAAGTAAACGAATCTCTCGGGTAGAGATCAGCTGTAAGAGTCCTAGGACTGAATCTGGAAGCATTCGGAATCTGAAGTACAAGTCAATAATTATAGCTGCCTCTCCTCGCTGCGATCGGAGGCTGGTTAAAAGGTCAAGACAGCACTGGCTCTCCCGGTGATAAGGGTAATTTTGAAGAAACGGCACCTGTAGAGCTACAGGCCGTTGGCATCAGGATTTCGAGTCGATATCACAGCAAGCAATAAAATACCTCGATGATCTCGGCTGTATATGAATGTGACCAGCCTTATCCTTCTTGTACATCTGTGACTTGAATTCCTGATCTACCAAATCTTCTCGGGGGTCCCATTTCGCGTATCGTATCCCAGATCCTTCGGGTCCTGGGTCGCTGGAGAAGCAGTAACCTGTGAAGTATTAGCCGCGTGGTTGTAATAATCATGAAGTGGACGAACAACAGCAAGAGATGAGGTAGGCGAAGCCGATGGTAAAATCACCCATACCGGTGTTGGGTGCTGGCGCTGGTCGAGTTGGAATTTGAGCTTGAGCTTGAAGCCTGCCACTCAGCGCACGTGATCACGCGACTCCTTCGAAAATTAATCATGATTATCGCGTTCAACTACAGTGTTTCGCCACTGTATTACAAGAGCATGACTTGGGTCGACACGAGATCCTCCCACATACCGATGCTAACGCTCGCTCCCGTGGGTCCCCCACTATCCATATTTCTAATGGGGATGTCTTCTAGCACACCACCCTGTCAAATAGTGGCCACATTTCTTGCAAGAAGTCTACAGGTGATGGTAGTGTTGGAAAGGAAAACAAGTTTGATTCCATGCAAGTTCTACATCAGACAATCAAATACTCAAGGATTCACCAGCGATATTCCACCATCGACGCTCAGAATTGCCCCGTTCGTATAATCCGACACAGCCAAGTAGACCGCTGTCATTCCCATCTCCGCCTCACTAGAAACTCAAATCAATATCCATTCTCACCCGAGAGCCTGAAAACACTCACGTCCCTTGCCTCTTCGCAGGAATCGGCGCGACAAACCCAGGCAATGGCTTGGTCTTGATCGATTCCAAAACCTCAGGACTAACCAGCTCAGACGCAAAGAAGCCGGGCGCCAGTACATTCACCCGAATCGGGATATCCCTCCCAGCAAAACTCGTAGCTAGAACAAGTGTGAGCTTTTCCAAACCAGATTTTGTTGCAGTGTAGGCGACCTAAATCAGGGTTCAGCTTAGCTAGACAAGCTACTTAAAATGGACGGCATAGCGCATACAGAGCCCATGGGGCCCAATGTGTTTATCTTTGCCCCTGTGCTGCTGACGTTGATGACGCTTGAGGTGCCTCGGACACGGGACTGAGCTCCTTTGACGAGGAGGGATTGGAAGGCGCGTACGACGAAGAACGGCGCGATCGTGTTAAGCGCGAAAATGTCAGCCCAGTTCTGTACGGTCTCGGGTTCAAAAGGATCCTCGGCAGCGTATTTCTTCGCGACGAAGTCTGGGTCACGAAGGGAGGCGGAAAATCCGGCACTACGAAGATGTTAGCGTGGGGGATTAAGAGGAACACGTAGACGAACTTGTTGACGAGGATATCGAGCTTACTGTCGATTCCTTCAATGTGCTTCGCCCCGGCCTTGATGCTCTCTTCGTCTGTGACGTCCATCTGGATTCTGCAGGTGCGTCAAAGACGAACAGCACCATGAGGAGAAAACAGCTGCCAGCTTACGGGACAATGGATCCTGAAATGCCTGTGACTGACGTTGCAGCCTGCTCTAGCACATCCAGCCTACGTCCAGTGATGTATACTTTCGCTCCGTTTGCAGCAAAAGCTTTGGCAATCATAAATCCTCTGTCAGATAGAGTCAAGCATGAGTCGTAAAGAATCGTGAATCAGAGAACATACATCCCTGTTCCTCCGCCTGTAACAAGGCCTACTCGACCAGACAATGACATCACTGTAGCCATGTTAAGATCTGCCATAGTTGTGGAATGCTGAAGCTGAATGGCTTCTGGGACGCAGTGCCTTTTTATTCCAGTGGGTCGTTTGCCTAGATGACATAAACTCTGGTCTTATTCAGCGAGAGTATATCCCGGTGTATGCGGTAAATGGTGGGTTTTACGTTGCGAAATAGCCCGCATTCCCTCATGACACGGAAGTTCTTGTTCTCGGGCCCGAAATCCTATTTATCGGCTCATGGACACAACATTGTGTCAAGAAAGGAACCTTCGTAGTGATTATTCACGCTCTTCCACGCATGTCGTCGAAAGGTCTTTGTGCGAATACGGAGAAAGAGTGCAGACACAGACACCATATCGTCTGAGAAACCTTGAAACAGAAGCCGACTGCGAGTGAAAGGTGAGTAATGGTAGCAGTGATCCCATCGGCAGCTTCATCATCGATCTGCGTAATCAAGTCAACGTTCCGGGCCATGCTCCTTGATGGGCAGCCACTGATATGAGAGTGTCCTCGGCAATCCAGTCAATGACGGCCCGTCACGCCAAGCTAGCTATGTACGAGATATACCATAATCTTCGCCCGGTGTTGCGTACACCGTCACCACCTCTTCGATCGTTCCTTTCGTGCTCTTGGTCGGGGGGCACTGAGCTCTGCCACATTCTGTCCAGATGATTTGATAGTTTCTTCAGATTCGATAGTAACCACGGTTTTGGCACTGAAAAGAAAGACACAAGTGTCCAGTGGGTGGAGTTTTTACTTCAAGAATTCCAGTTGTTGCTTTTACAGTCTTTGCCAGGCACATTCAGACCAGCTGAGTGTCTTCTCGTTTCAAAAAGTTCTTCAGATTCGGCGGTCACAGCGGCTCCGAGGCTAAAGAGAAAAAAATGAACATCCATTCGACGATAGTGGTTGTAGTCAGAATGGTATTTCAAATCCGGTCCGCTGGCCCGCCACTGCTTCCTACCCTTTCCTACCTGCCATCATGGACTCCAGTAGTCCTGTGACAGTACCTTCTATGTGGCAAGCCGACGATAGAAGCAGCTTGCTCCATATGCAGGATGGTAACGAGACTAGGGCTCCGGCGGACCAGCGCAGCGCAGGACGATTGCCTCAACTTGCGATACATCTTATTATATTCCTTATTCAGTCTAAGTTCTCTCAGCAGCATTCGCCAACGCAAACCCAGAGCCCGAACCGACCTCTTACACGCACTACAAACACTCGACGATACCAAAATTACAAATTACCTGTTGGGCGAGTGCATTGGATGGGCGTCTGGATGGATACCGGTTTACAAAGGGTTCTTCTGGAACATCAGAACCGATAAATGCCACACATGGAGCTGCCGCTAGACCAGCTGAGAAGTGACAGTCTGTTCAGTTTAAACGCGACTGTTAGCACGGTTTCAAACAGGACTTTTCTTGCTCAAGTGCCATTAAAAGGTGACTGATCCAATTTATTTGACGCGCACTCATTCTGATTGAAAATTAGCCCGTAACTCGCCCTTCAGTCGAGTCCATTTATTCACTACCCTGCTGGCCGAATCCAGACTATCGGAACATTGAATACTTCTAATTGCAGCGTCCGAGTCCGTGAAATTGTTCCTCCTTGGCATAGAAGAGCATGAATAATCACAACGAAAAATTCCTCTTCTGACACAGTAAGCGGAGCGTCGGGTCTGAGAAATTTGTCAAGTTGCTGACGGTACGGGCGGAATGCTACTTCACCAAGGTCTAGTCGTACTGAATAATACCACAGATACCATTATAAAAGAGACCATGCACAGAGATTCCCAGAACATGGCAGATCTCAGCGTTACCACAATGATGTCGTTGTCTGGACGAGTAGGTCTCGTTACAGGCGGAGGGACAGGAGTGTAAGCGTTGGGTTTCTCGATTATGACTTGCGGTTGATTCTTCAACAGAGGACTTATGATGGCCAAAGCCTTCGCTGCAAATGGAGCGAAAGTATACATCACTGGGCGAAGGCTGGATGTCCTAGAGCAAGCTGCTGCGTCAGTCACAAGTGTCCCGGGATCCATTATCCCGTCAGTGATTCTCCTTTCTGTAGGTTATTCGTTGCTAAACGTGTACACAGACTCCAGATGGATGTTACCGACGAAGAGAGCGTCAAGGCTGACGCAAAGCATATTGAAGGAATCGATGGCAAGCTCGATATCCTCGTCAACAAGTTT